TACTGAAAGTTCCAGCTTGCTTCATTGGAGTCCAATCGAACTTCTTCTCTTTCACATGGCTTCTTCCGACATGATTACCTATACAAAAAAGCACAAAAAATGGGGATTAAATATGTATAACCCTGTATGTGTAACCAAAGGGTCTTTACTTACAAAAGAAAAGTTAAATTGAGGATTACATAAGTCGAAAGTTAGGAAAGAGTTGAATGTGTTAACAAATTTGGTACTAGAATGTAAGTAAAAAATTAACATTATCAGGTACGGGTATTTTCGTCATCCCTAATAAAGAGGGACATATCATGTTCATTTGTTAAGACATAGACACGTGAAATTATGCAAACCTTCTCTAAGTTGTGCTTCTTATGTAACGTAGTAAGTATTTCAGAAGGCGATGGGTATTTAGTAGCCTAGAACGGGTCGTTCCCAAATTAGAACGAGTCGTTCCAAACTACTAAATTGGCCTATAAATCCTAGATTGGAATGGGCAGTTCCAAACATGGTTGTTGAGTTAAATTCAACTCCAGAGCAGTTCATTCTAGTTTGGGAACAGGTTATTCTAGACGTGCCAGAACGGGTCGTTCTGGTTTCAGAACGGGTCGTTCTGGTTTCAGAACGGGTCGTTCTACATGTAAATTTTTCACATGATGAAGGAGCTTAGAACAGGCCATTCCGGATTCGAAATGAGCCGTTCTAACCACTCTTGACCTCTATAAATAGACGTTAAGGAGGGAGATAAAGGGAAAGAAAGAGGGAGAGAAGTTTAGAGAGAAGGACTCTAGTCCGCTAGGAAGCTTGATTTTGAAAGATTAAAGTTCGGGAGTCGAGCTCAGAGGAAAGTTTTTCTTATTCCCGAATTCTTGGCTATTCGGAGCTAATATTCAGGTTAGGGAAGCTTTATACATTGTGTTTTTTTGTTGAAATGGTTGAGTTGTTGGGTGCTTAAGTTGATATTGTAATGACTATAGTTGTTGTAGTTGTTTAATTAAGTAATATAAAGATGCCTATTGATGTAAAGTTGAAAGTTGCCTTAAAGTTGTTAAAGTTGAGATTGATGACTAGATTTGCTTATTGTTGTAAAGATGCTTATAGTTGTAAAGTTATTATGATGCCTATAGTTGTAAAGCTATAAAGTTGTAAAGTTGTATATTGTTGTAAACTTGTAAAGCTGTCTATTGTTGTAAAGTTGCAAAGTTGGAAACATATGGTGAAGATATATGTCCTATGTTGATATACATAGTACTAAGGTGATAATTTGAAAGTTGTTTTAAAGTTGAATCCCTTAGTACTATGTGGGAGACATGGAAGTAGTCGATCCATGTCATGGTTGAATGACCAATTTGAGTAAGGAATCTAGTTAGAGATGTAGTCTTTGACTAGGTACTAGAGGGTGCGTGGTACTTGGAGGACAGTGGGTGGGCTAACTCCATATGTGGATTGGTGATGCTAGCCAAGGTCGTGGTAGGCTCACAACCAAACCCTTTTGTCCTGACAGTAGTACTGGACCTCCGAGTCTAAGTGACACATTTGAGCAATCACCTATTGTTGTTTATACCTGGTTCTCTTCGAAATTCCTAACAATGTCCTATACCCTAGTTGAGATAGGTCAAACGCTAGATTCAGTAAGGTTTATGCCACCTAGATTGCTCAACCTCAATTATTGAAGATCTCCTAGTTGTATATGCGTGACGACGCATTAGTTGATGTTGCATGTGTTGTTGCATTCAAGTTGTATATAATGTCATATGAATGAGTTGATAGTTGAGCTATTGTGATAAATACTATGTGATTGTGTTGTGATGAGTTGTTGATCACTAGGACTAGAGGAGAAGTTTTCAAAGTTGTTCATCCCATTGTGTGGATTGAGATAGTTGTGGTGCTCTAAGAGCCCAATTTGTTTAAAAACCCTCCTTGGAAAGTTGTCCCTTGGAGTGGATGATGTGTTGTTCTCCTCTAGGACTTGGTTGGTCCCGTGTGTGGGCAAGGTCGAGGCACACATGTATGAAGCGACCAAGGTATAGGGGCCAGGTCGAGATATACCGATTACAAGCGGCCAATTTGAATAAAGTGCAATGTGTTGAAAATGTTATTACTAGTAGATGATATTATATATCTATTGTTGCCGATGTTGTGATGCTTTAAGTTGCAAGTTGAAAGTAGAATTCTATTGCTTTTTATTATATGTTGATGCTATTTTTTTATGATTATTGTTGTGAGCTTACCTTAGCGATGACCATACTTTGGTATGTGAGCATATTAGGATTTAGGTTCTATGTTGGACTAGGTGAGCTTCTTTTTGGTTGGGACTCACGAAGAGGATTGACGTTGTATTTAGTTGATTGGTAGCTTTTGACTACCTAGTTGTTGTATAGGGTATTATTCCCTACTTTAAGTTATATATATTATGAGACTTTTTAGTTGTGTGTTCTCATTATATATATAATTTTTTAGTAGTGAGATTTTATTTTATACTTGTATCTGAACACTATAGACAGTGTGAGGCCTGGCGGGTCGTTACATCCTACTCCAAAGCCTCTAAATGCAACTTGAGGTCTTTGTTCTCTATTGTCAAATTTGTAGTGTTTCTTTACATCATATGAGATATTCATGAGCTATTTTTATTGTTATAATTATTTTGATCTCCATTTCCCCCTTGAACCTCTCTTTTGGTAGTTGTTATATCCTGGGTTTTATTTTTTTGGTTGAAATTGGAATTGGAGGAGAAAGTTGAGCGAAAAGGAAGAAAAAAAATTGAAGAAAGAAATACCTAAGTACCTGGGTTTCATTATCCACATTGTCGCTTCACTTTTTTGATCGAGTTTACTAGAGATAAGAGATGGGGGCTTCAAAAAAGGGTTTGGGTGCGAGGAGAATGGCTCTTAAGCGTGAGGAGAATGATTCCATCGATTGATGTACTGTGTTTGGGGTTAGGGTATTGCAATTATGAGAGGTGATGAAGAAAACAATATTTGATCTTGTGAGTGTGAGAGGAGAACATGCAATTTTGTGTTTCTTGTGAGGATGGAAACGCGTTAGAGTGAAAAAATACTACATCGATTACTCCAATAATCGATGTAGAACACTACATACTTACATCTGTTTCCCTTAAAATTGATGGAAATATGCCAAAATTTTATACTTAATTCAAAAATGTCATTGTGTTTTATTTCTACATCAATCTTGGTAAAATAGATGTAAAATTGTTGATTTGGAATAGTGCCTTTCTAGTAGTGTAGAGACAAAAAACATTTACACTTATATGTATCCCCTTTATAATATGTATAGATTAATAAGTTTGTCTAGTTTTTCTTTTATATAACATCGAATTTTTTATATAAAAAAATATTCATTGACTACTATACCTTTAAAACAAAAAAAAAAGGAAATCACTAGGGTTTAAGAACCACTCGCCATTATTAATGAAACAAATCTTATCATTACACCACTATGTATCCTTTGTATGATGTTGATGCCATCTTTTCTATTAGCCTTATAAATGCATACATTTCTTCTTACACTTCACTCTGTCATCCTTATCACTCATTTCATATTCTATCGGGTTTTCTGTAAAATTTCATGTAAAGAAAATTTCTAGGCCCATCTAATTACCAATTTCAACATGATTTCTTAGAACTTTTAAAACACAACCCTCGCATTCTTATCGAGCAATTTGAAACATTGGATAAAGTCAATTCCATAGTTGAGTTGTAAAATGAATTATCTAACCATATTGCCAAATGAATGGGTTTCTCATTTGTAACATTACGTCGTTGATTCGCTCTCACTCCTCTAGTTTCAAAAAAAGGATTATTCATTGAAAACCAATGTGATGACCTCTTTTAAGAGGAGGAATATGAGTATATAAATACACCAATGTCTTCATAAATATAAGGCCTTTTGAATGATGACTATAAGCAAATCTATGAGGATTTTGAAGTGAGTCCCACTATTGTGAGCTATTGGTAGAGTGACAATGCGTGCAAGTACCTAAAACAAGACTAAGCTCTATGAGTCATCACTAATACTCATGGGTTGAAAAAGATGACTTCCACTACAAGAGAAGATTAAACTATGGTCCTTTATTTGAGAGAAAGATGTTAGGATACAATCAAAGTCCTATATCGCTAGAATTAAAGGAGAAACATGAATTTGTAAGCACATAAAGTCTCTATTAGTATGAAACCTTTTGGTTGATGATCAAAAGTAAATCTATGAGGTCTTAGGCCCAAAATGGACAATATCATACCAATGTGGTGACATGTGTGTATTTGTGAGAACTCATGTTGCATAACAAGTAGTATTAGAATTAATGGTTTCGACTATGTGATCAATTAGACGAGTATGATGGAATCAGCAAGTGGATCTAGGTATAAGATCCCTTGTATTGAAAGTCTGTTTGACAATGAATTCATGTATGGAGAGTCTTCCTATTAACACGGAGCTTAGGAGGCTTGTACTGCTATCATGAGTTAATGGTGGAGTGACAACGGAAGTGCCTAAAGCAAGACTAAGGTTTATAGGCAACCATAAAATACTCGTGGACTAAAAAAATTAGAAAAACATGAGGCTAGTCAAAATAATTGGTAAGCATCTATCGATTCTAGCATCACAATAAATTAATCTAGTAAAGAGGAATGTTAACAACATACTTTCTAATATACTCCTTTTAATACATTCTCATTAGTTAAAATTTATTAAAAATTATAAAATTATGGAAGTCATCAAATAGGGTGTGAAACCTAGCGATTGTTGTGTTTTTCAATAAATTTTAAATCAATTAAAGTGTGTTTAGAAGAATGTGTTAAAGAGTGTGTTTCTAACTAGTAGTATTTATTGTCCAATAAAATAACAAAGATGTTGTATTTTGTGTCAACTTGGTATTTTTATGTTTGATTTTCATATGTATTAAAATAATATTTAATCAACAGAAATTACATCTCGTAAGTGTATATTAATATTTAATTGTAAGTATTTTGACAAATTGAAAGAAAAAAACGAAAATCTCCATTCAAATGAAAAAGTCCTCATGCAAACTTTAGTAATTCCACAAAGTCCAATAAAAAGATCACAATTTGCCTTCCAAAATCGAGAGAAGGCAGACATAAATATAGAATGCACGCAAAATAATTGTCAAGCAACAGTAGATTCCGTCATCACAACAAATCCAACAATCATAAAGAAATTACACGTGTCTTTGTTATGGAAATGAACATGTCCATTCATATGAAGTCTTGATTAGAAGCTTCAAAGAACGACTCCTAGCCTGCAATAAACACCATCAAATAAAAAATAAAATAAAATGAAGTCTTAATAATCATTTTACGATAATAAGGATACATTTTATTTGGGGATAAAGTATGGAATTTCGTGAATATATAAAAAGGAACAAATCCACTCACTGCTGGACATTGATATTCTAGCTGGTTACAAATGTTATGGGTAAGGAGTACCCCAATATTAGTGATAATGTTGAATTATTTAATATTATAATTAATTATATACACATGATTTTAATGTTTTAGGCATATTTTAATAATAATATTTACATATATCTTAAATTTTATATTATGCATTAAAATGAAGTGATGTAATGAATTATTAAATAATTTTGATAAATTATTATGATCGGTCAAGCAGTGGAAAGTTGAGGTAATATGTTCATGATTCTAAGTTTGAATCTTGATGTAGTTATTTTAATTCATATAGATAAAAAAAATTTATGAAATTTTTTATACTGATTTATTTATTAAAAACATAAAATGCAATAGTTGGATTAGTAAATTTGACATTCTACAAAAAAAAAAAAAAATTGTTGAAAGTGTAATTTATTAACTTTGATACTTGAAGGCAACAAACCATGACCTTATATATTATTGTAGACCTCTAAGACCACTAATAACATAATTGATAATTGATAGTGATAAATTAAGATAATTTTGTGATAATAATACTAGTAATAATATAATTAATAGTTTTATAGTATTAGTAATAGAATAATTGATGGTGATAGGTTTAAACAGTTTTGTAGTATTAATTAGATTTAAACTCTAAAGTTAATCTAATGTGATGTTTTCACATTAGTAAAAAATTAATTAATTAATGATATTTGAGTAGAGGAATTAAAATAATAATTTTTTTTTATATTTTATGATTAAAAATATATTTTTAAATTTGAAGAATCAAAAATATAAATTTTAAAGTTGAGAGATCAAAATAATAATTTTTTTTTTATATTTTATGACTAAAAATACAAATTTGAAATTTTGACAAGAAAAAAATACATACTGTAAATTTAAAAGATTAAAAATATAATTAAAAACTTTTTAATTTTATTTTTGTGACAGAGATGGTAAGAACTAGAAAACATTAGGAGTTTCTTTTTTATCTACCAAATTTCGACCAAAAAGTTTTAATTATATTCAAGCGCAACCTAATCTTTGATTTTTTTTTTTAATTTCTAATTTATTATCCCCTTACTTATTTTATTTTTTATTTTGGAATCGAAATATCTAATTTATATCTCCTATAAATTATAAGGAGTGTTTCATTCTATTTTACTTTTTTGTAATTTAAAATTATTTTGTAAATAGGGGAAAAAATTATTGGATAAGGTGATTTTAAAAACAGTTTAAAATGGCAAAGAGGAAGAGGTGTTATTATTGTTTACATGTTCACTGCTATAAAAACGAAGACTCAAAAAACATGTTTCAGTTCTCCATTTTATTTATAGAAGCAGATTTTTAGAAACTATTTTTACAATGAGAGCAAAAACAAATCCAATAAAGTAATTTTTATTGTTTTCTATTTTTTATAAATAAAAAATCTTTAGAAACAGTAATTAAAGTATCAAACAGTTCAGCCAGCAAAAAAAGTATCAAACAGTTCCTCTCTCTCTCTATCTCTCTCTATATATATTCACCCTTTACTACAAACTTTTAAAAACTAAATGAAAAAGTAATTTATAGAATAGTCTTTAACAAAATAACAGACATTAAATGTAGTCATGATTCAATAATATCATACAAATGTATGATGGTTTCATAGAAATGAAGTCACCAGAAACATAACATAAATAACACAAGTTAAAAATTATTTTTTATACGTTTGATTGAGGAAAGGGTATGTACCTTCATATTAGACATGAAAGCATTGGTTATGAGTTTATGACTTGTTGGAGGAGTGAATTGTGCGGACTTCAAAATCATTGACTTTTGGACCTACCCAATGACGAATGATTACAAGGGGAATGTGATTGATGATCCAATGATCTTGTCCGTTTTCTGAACCAATGCTCTCAACAAATTCAGTTGGCATATCACGGAAGTCGAGAACTTTAAGGTTATCCAAGGCTTTGATGCCAGGGGATACCTTCTTGAGATGGGGCATTTTGGTAATTGAGAAATGTTCAAGCGAAAGCAAGGCTCCTCTGTCTATAATGATAGAATTTACTCTATTCAAGCTTCTGAGTTCCAGTTTCTTCAATTTAGGCAATCCTCCACTTTGAAAATGCAAAATTTCACCATCATAGGCATTCTCCCCCATACTTAGTTGCATCAAATTTGGCAAGTTTTCTAGCGATCTTAACGGGTCATCTTTCAAATTGGATAAAGCCAGCTTTATGCAAACAAGATAGTCATGTTTTGAAATCCAATTAGGCATCTTCTCCAATCTTAATTTCAATTTGAGTCGTCGAAGTTGGGGTATGGATGAAATAGAGTTCAAGTCGATGATTTCATCCTCACCTATTGCAGTGATATTAAGTGATTCAAGGTGTTTCATCTCTACCACTGAACCACATATGGCTTTCCCATATTCCCTCTTGACACGCCTTAATCCAAACTTCCTTAATTGCCTTAAGAATCTCATCTCTTGGATGAGATCTATTCCCCCATGATCTACCTCCACATAATAAAGATTTTGTAGGGAAGTCAAGTTTTTAATACCTTTTTTCATTACCACACCACTTGTATAGCCCAAAATAGAATACTCTGCATTATAGTTTCGATGGAAAGCAAGAAGATGGCGCAGCTTTTTGAGCTTGTTTATTTCACTTGGCAACTCGTGAACCAACGTATCTCTTATATCTAAGGTCTCCAAGTTCTGCAACATACCAACAGATTTAGGAAGAACCCGAACTTTAGTTCCCCTTAGATTTAGGTACTTTAAGTGAAAAAGGTTTCCTAAATTACTAGGAGCATATTTTAGCGATATACCTTCAAGGTCAAGTACTTTCAATCTAGACTTTGAAGATAACTGACCCATAAAAGGCTCAATTACTCCTTTTCCAAAAGCATGAATAGCACGAATGTGTGTGTTGATATTTCTCTTCAACACTTTGTTGGAACTAGTGTCTATAGATAGGCGTCTTGATATTCCAACTGTGGCTAATTCATCATCTTGCAGAAAATGGCAAAAACTTAAGTCCTTCACTTTTCTTACAATCATTTCATGTAATAAATCATGGACTTGACAACTTTTAACTTTCCCTTCAAAGCTAACTGTGGAGACTTGAACCAGGCTTCTATAAGTTAACTCGGATAAGTACTCATCTGCAGTTTGCTCTAAAGTTCTTCTCCCATCAGATTTTACAAACCCTTCTGCTATCCATTGTTGAGTTAATTTGTTATGATGAATGGAGTAATCTTCAGGATAGATACCAAAATACAAAATGCATGGTTTCAGATAGTAAGGGAGGTCATCATAACTAAGAGATAAAATCTTAGTCAAACTAGTTAGATGGGCATTACGCTGCAACTCGAGGTTTAGATTTTGACTTACCTTTCGCCATTCAAACACAGTTTTTGATTTTGTTGAAAATAGACCACCAATGGCCACAATCGCCAAAGGCAATCCTTTGCATTTTGTAACAATTTCATTTGAGATACCTTCAAGCTCTGCAGGACATTGCCCATCTAGCTCATATCTAAATGCCTTCTTGCAAAAGAGTTCCCATGCTTTGTCTGGAGGCAAAAGTTGTAGGTTGTGAACTCGGACAAGAAAGGATTTCTTGAAAAACTCAGCAACTTGCATCAATCTAGTGGTGATTATGATCCTGCTACTTTTATTGTTTTTAGGCATGACAAAGTCAACTTGGTCACAAAAATCTTCATGCCATACATCATCAAAGAATATCAAATACCTTTTATGCTCCAAGTATTGCCTCAGTTCAGAAATTAGTGACTTCTCATCCATTTCGTGTAACATTTGTGGTAGAGGGTCTTTTGTCTCCTTAGAAAATTGCTTTATCATGTCTATGAATAACCCTCTCACAGTGTATGTTTGAGAAACTGTGATGCAAGCACGACAATCAAAGTGGCTTTTTACATTTTCACTATCAAAAACGTGCTTGGCAAGGGTGGTTTTTCCGAGTCCTCCCATCCCTACCACTGAAATCACTGCAGGATCTTTTGTGCCCTTCAACAGCCAATCAACCATTTCATCTCTTGAGAATTCAAATCCAACAATTTCAGTTTCTTCAATGAAAAGAGAACGCATTCGAGGATCATGCCATCTACTCTGTTCCAAGCTGCTTCCTTGTTCTTGTGAAACTTGAAACTTGTACCTTTCACTTCTTTCCTTGATCACAGAAAGTGACAATTTAATGTCCTGAATCTTTGTTGCTATCTGATGACGAGAAATCAGGCTTGTAATCTTGCATGTTGAAGACACACATCCAAGTTGGGGCGGATGAATGAGCCTGAGGTATTCATCGATGACATCTTCTATGTGAAAAGATGCTTCTCTCACTTGCTTCACCCATGTTCTTATTCCATCATCAGTGTTTGCTTCGTCTGCTGCCCTTTTATCTGCATCTTTGAGGAAGGCTTGAATGCTTTCTAGTTCATCTTTGATGACTGAAAAATCTTTGTGGATGCCTCTTAGAAGGTGTGTTTCTTCCTTTAGGAATTGGAACACTTCTGCCAAGGCAAAAGACACTGCAGTTTCTGCCATTTCACTCTTATCTCATATTGCTATCCCCAGGACAAAATATATTGATCTCATGTTAATGCAATTTTGTCAGTATTTGTCGGAGGTAATATTTATGTAAGAGGAAAGTTACAACTTTTTTATTATTTGATTTTCTCTTATAAGATTAATTTATATATAATTTTATAATAGTGAGTTCGATTTGTATTTATTATTTATTTTGTCTTTTTTATTATGTGTATGTTTTATAATTTTTTTATTTTTTATTTTATTTTATCGATATAAAATTTTCTTTGTATTTCAATATTTTATATGGATCCGGTATAAGCTTCCAGGAAAATATGGAGTTTTTCCTTTGCCTCTTTTCTTTCTTTTGGGTAAACTATTATTGAATGTTGCCAAAATTAATTTCCATGGTCAAAGAAAAGGAACGTGCTGCACACGGTTGGTGGATGAGTTCCAATTTTCTCCGGCCATTTATCTAGTTAATTACTTAATTATTTTGCAAAGATACACCGTGTATTATTTTTTTCTTTTTGAGTTTATTATTTCTTAATTCTAAACTTTCATGCGATCTTGTCTGTATATCTGTTTTGTGTGTTGTAAGCTAGCGTTTGTAGTTATATATTGTGTCCGGCACTCAATTACATAAGCGTGAATATATATATATATATAGAGGGAGGATTCAAACGACATCGCTATAACTTTTATTAAGTATTACACTGTTCAATAATTTTATAGGTGAAGGCGAATGGATGAAGCTCCTTAACGACGGAGACAACAAACAAAGATGGTAGATGTGAAATAGAAAATGGCAATGACAAATGGGTGAAGATCTTTAACGACAATGACAATAAAAATGCACCTCAACAATGGCAACTACGACGACAAGATTTGAGAACAATGAAAATGGGTGAAGAGTGGAGTAAGATTTGAGAGTAGAAGGGGCAGTGTGAGAGAGAAAGGAGAAAAGGGGAATCCTATTCCTTAATTTTTTTTTTTTTGGTTCGTACCTGGAGTATCCACCGCCGATAGCAGTGACTAATCTCCTCGCTACGTTGGAGGCACCTCAAAGGGTGGGATAACTGACCCCAAGATTTAACGTGGCTGCATACACAAGGCAGGATTCGAACCCTTGACCTCTATTCCTTAATTTTGTATAAGGTTTTTAAAATCGGTTATTAAATAATCAATTTTATATTGGGTTTACAAAATCGGTTATGGAAGTAACCGATTTTGTATACTATCTACAAAATCAATTCTTCAAAACCCGATTTTAAAAGTAGCACCAGAAAGACATTTTAAGATCGGTTAAATTTTAACCGAACTTAAAATACCTTTTAAAATCGGTTAAATTCTAACTGATCTTAAAATTAGTCGAATTATTACAAAATGTCACCGCGTCACTTTTAAAATCGTTTATCTCGTAACCGATTTTAAAACTCCGATTTTGAAAATGTTTTTTGCACTAGTGATCTAATCGTTAGATTGTTCATATCGCTTTATATGTTTATATCAAATTTTGTTAAAATTAAACAACAATTTGAAAGTAATCAAAGTGTTCATATTTTACTATATTTTGAAATGTATATATTACGTCAAATTTTGTTTTATACTCAAATTACCTTGGATTAATATAAAATTTTGTATATATGATCTAAAAATAATGAACTTTCAATCTGACGATTGAATTTATAAAATTTAATTTAATATAAAATTATTTAGCAGTATAATACTTAGTAAAAATTATATCAATATTTTTTTAACCCTCTTCATATATATATATATATAGTAATAAGGTGTTCATCAATTTACTTCTTGCACAAACTAGAGCGTGAAAAAAAAAAGGATAGTAATGAGTGTGAGATTGTCCAATGTGGACTTTCTTTTAAACTATTGATATTTTTTTAAAAAGAAATGAATCATAGTGTATAATAGTAAATAAATTTAGCTTTAGTAGTTATATATATTGTTTCTGGCACCCAACCAAACGCGGAAGGATTAATTTATAAAAATAGATAATTTATACTATTTTTTGATTAGTGAAAATAATTGTTATATAAAAAGCACATATACATGTTTAATTTGAAATAATGTGTTGTTCTGGAATTAATCCAGGACACCCTAAAGAATAATGACCATGTATATAAAGTGTAAATCTAATAAGAGAAAACACTCAACTTGTCAAACTCACACAAATAAGCAAATAAAATCTCCAAATTAAATGTTACTAATTGTTACAACTTAAGAAAAATGAATAATATTTATTTTTATGTGTCATTTGAAGCATAGAGGAAATTTGAGATGAGATTAGCCACTTTAGTATTTTTTATATTATATTATATTATATATATATATATATATATAATCCAATAATGTGTCATGAATTTAAAAATTAATTTTTTTTTACTTAACTCACACATAAGCCGGTTGGGTTATATTTGACTTAACACTCAAGAATTTGAGTTCACAAATTATTTGCACTTGTAAACACTCTAATATAGCATTGTCTTGGTCCTTCAAAGCTTAAGGAAGCATTTGTTCTTATTTCAACTCATTTAATTTTTCTATCATAGTTAAAATTATTTTGAGCTGGTTTTCAAGATCTGTCTACATATTACAAATTATTAGGTGGTGGTATAAACTATATGATCCTTCACAACTTTCTTGTAAATTGGAAGTCTTAAATACCTCTAATTCATATTTAATGTCTGAATAATCATTTCTGAGGCATTTCAACAAATTTCCTTCTTGTTTCATATGTTGGTACAACTGTTACAAAACAAATGAAACTGCACTTTCTGCTATTTTCATTTCATCTCATTGTGATAGTTTGCGATTTCTACAATTCTAGCGCGTAATGTTTTGTATGGCTTTGGTTTCTTGTTTTTGTATCATGTGCTGCTACTAATTTCAACTACTATGAGTCTGTGTTAAATTTATTTAATATACAGTTATATAAAATTTTAATATTAATTTTAAATATAATTTAATAACATATATTATATGTTATTATAATTTATATCTATTCTCTTTTACTAATATATTAATTGTACCTGTCTGAAGGGCACACTAAGTCTTCTTGTAGTTCGAAGGCCGAACGAGACTCCTGAATGTACCTGTCTGAAGGGCACACTAAGTCTTCTTGTAGTTATGTTCAGAGTATTTAGGATCATTATTTCAATTAAACTTTTCTAAATCTGAATTTTTAATGAAGTTTCTTAAAGACTTGTTATTGAAGAATGAATCCTATATGCTTTCTTGATTAACCAATAATGAGGTTCAAAGATAATATCAATATGTAATGCTTTGATTCAGTTCAAACCAATATTATTAATGCACACATGTTAATAAAAAACAATCTTCTTTAATGCACAATCAAGATATTACAAAAAGTAAAAGATAAGGGTAAGAGAAGATTGCACAAGTCTTTTATCCTGGTTCAGCCACTCCACATGTGACCTACATCCAGTCCTCAATCATAACCTGATCAAGATTTGTTTCACTATCTTAATGAAGAAGGTTTACAAGCATACCACACATGCATATACTCCTACATTCAAGATAACCACTTTCTTGACCTCAAGAAAGCACCCCTTGTAGAAACCCACTACAAGAATTCCTTACCACTTGAGAAACCTACTCAAGATTTACAAGTATTCACAAAGAATTAAGGAACGAATTCACCTGGAATTCAGAAGCAAATCTTAATCTCTTTCCTTTCAAGAATGTGATGATGATGATCTTTTCTCAAAGCTTTTCACAAATGTTTTTCTTCTTGGATTCACAAAGAAAACTCTCCAAGATTGTCACAAAGACTTCACAAAAACGCTTTTCTAATTTTGATTCTCAATTCTAACTTTGTTCTAAAGTTTCAAAATGTTCAAACTATTTATAAAAGTTTCAGAACCAGATAATCGATTATTTTAAAGAATAATCGATTATTTTGTTCTTCAGGTTTTCTGGAAACCAACCAAGAACAATATAATCGATTATTTTGCTGGATAATCGATTATTCCAGAGAGTCATTTCTGGGATAATCGATTATTTCACAAATAATCGATTATTGCAGCAAGGCATCCCATTTTGCCTGTTGCTGGAATAATCGATTATATTTAATGATAATCAATTATTTTGAGTTAGTTTTCAAAACTTCGTTTTAAGTCTCAAAATAACTTTTTAGTCCCTTTAACTCATCATCATACACTCTCTAATTAGTTTAGATATAGATTTAGCTTATGCACACAGCACACACAACAAATAAACTCATTCAAAACAATTTATACACTAATTCCTATTACATAGCACTTTCTTTGACTTTGTTTTTGCCTTCTAAGTTGTTGTTGTTTGTTGTTGTCCTTGACACACATTTGTGATCATCAAAACTCTTTAAGCTTCAAAGGTGATCTCATCAAGTTTAGGCTCCCCTAAGCTCAACAATCTCCCCCTTTTTGATGATGACAAACCATGACACAAATCATGACAAACCAAGCTAGGCTTCAACCATTTGCTTTTTCTTTCACTTTAAACAACACAAAATCTACAAAGCAACCTGCAAAGCCATACACACAACAACCTTTCTCCCCCTTTGGCATTATCAAAAACAAATCAAGCTAAGTTTGTTCATACAATATAAGCCATATGCATACTCCTTATGTGCTCAGATCAACATCTAAACTTTGTGAACAAAAAATTTTCAAATTTATCAAGTTACTTTCAATCACAATATCTAATTCATTACCAAAAAAAAATCATATGATCAGCAACAAAAACATTCATTTGTCAACCAAATTCACAATGTACAGTACAGTATTACAATTCAAAGTCCACAATCATTATCAATTATGCCAACCAAATATCAAAAACCACATATCAATGTCTAAAAGCAGAACATCAATTAACATGCTTAAAACCAGAGCATCAATGCATCAGTCAATCAAACCAGAATTTGGAACATCATTCAAACCAACATATCAGCAAAATAAACTTCAAATTTCATCAGAAATTTAATTGTTCAACAGATTAAAGCAAATAAATTGTTCCAGAATTAAAAATATTACAACCAAATTGAAATTAAAATC